TAGAGATAAGTGAGTGAAGCTGGTGACTAGGGCTTAATATCTAGATTTAGGAACTAGATACACAGAAATGATAACTAATCCCAAGAGAGTTGATGAAATCACCAGGACTGAGTGACCAGAAGAGGGACAGAGCCTTGGGAAACACTCAGTTAGTGGGCATAATATGGATGATGAACCAGTAAAGGAGACTTAGAAGGGGTAATCAGACAGGTAGGAGGACAATATCACGGTATCACAAAGACTCAGAGAGGAGAGAGTAGCAAGGTTTTGATCAACCTTGTCAAATGAAAGTAGGATTTTCTAATTCCAAATCTAGTCTATTTCCCACTGTATCACACTGCTTGATCCAAGGTTTCCCACTGTATCACACACACTTGATCCAAGGTTAAAAAAGCAAACAATCAGATAATTAAATAATTGATCTTGAGTTCATTTCTAAGCCTGTACTTTTAGGATTTGCCTCTTTTATTAAGGAATGTGTGGTTAAACTAGTTGCTTTTTTCTGTGTCTCATATGTCACTCTACCATATTGGGGTAAGCTGGTCATTGCAGTCAAGTTAGTTTTCTTACTATTTCCTTCACGTCCCATACTTACCCCTGCCGCCACAACTTTGCTCAAGTTTTCCCCTGGGCCTGTCTCTCCAAAATCTAGCAATTCTTAAAGGGCCATCTCAAGTCTTACTCCCTTCCTGACACCTTATCTAATAACTACAGTCAATATCAATATCTTCTTTTTCTGATAACCTTTTAGAGCCCTTATTATCTTGCTGTACATTTTAGCAATTGATCATATTCAATTTTTTACTCTGTTACATATTATCTCATTTTGTTCTTCTTCAAATACGGGAATCTGGTCTTTCCAATAGTATTTTAAGCATTTTGAGAGGAAGGGTTTTTATCATCCCACTGCACTTAACAGAATTTTGGGTGCATAGCTCCTCAAAAACTTAATATAATGAACCAATTAAAGACATGGCTTGCCATTGGCAGACACAGATTACAACATATAGATTTCTCATTTATGTAAATCAAAGTTGAGAGATGTATTATAATGCTATAGAAATTAAGGCACTGAAAGTGGTGCCCAAAACATTTCCTTACCCATGGAATTATTTGTGTTATCTATTTTTCTCCATTAGGGCTGAATGGGATCCTTGAGGAGTTCTCATTCTGTCACTATGTAATAATTTATTCCTATTCTACTCCTATGATTCCCTCCCTCCTTAATAAAGTTCATTGAGTCAGTCTTCTTTGAGAAATCAGTCACTTTCTTCACTTCTGTTGTTGCATCATTGGAGGCCATAATAACACACCATTTTAAAGTAAAAAGTATTGATCACATAAATAATTTTAATTTGTAAATTATAAGCAAAGTTTCTGACAGAGGTAGCAATGAGTTATGCAGGAACATACTTGTACTCTGCTTTCAAAAATCATAAAATATCTTTTAATATTTAAGTACATCTATCTCTACTCTAAGCTGAAAACTGTCAATGATAGTGAAAAGGAAAGGAAAAAAGGAAAAGGGAACGGAAAAGTTCACTCCTCTTCTCCAGACTAAACGTTCCCAGTTCTTCCAACTGACTCTCATAGGGAAGAGAGTCAAGGCCTGCACCATACTGACTGTCCTCCCCTAGGCACTCTCCAATTTATCAATGTCTTTCCTAAACTGTGATGGCCAAAACTGAACACATCTCTGCATACGTGGTATGACCAGGGTAGAGTATAATGGGGCCATATTCTTATTCCTGAGAGCTCTTCTTCTCTTAATGGGGTTCTAATATAAATAAACCAGGGGGGATGTGATAGCTAGCTATCTTCAAGTATTTAAAGGATTCTTATGTAGAAAAAAGTAAGACTTTTTCTGCCTGGCACCTCAAGAACAGAACTAGTAGCAGAGGTACATGGTGCAAATTGGCAAATTTAGGTTTAATGTCAGGAAAAATTTCCTGTTGATAAAAAGTCATCCAGGAATAAGAATGGATTGTCTCAGAGGACGATGGGTTCTAAGGTTGAATGCTTGAATATTCAGTACATTTTAGTGTAGATATTTTTTTGGGGGGTGTGTGGATTGGACCAGATGATCTAAGTCCAAAAGTTGGAGAAACCAAGGGAAACTATATCGGAGCTGATCTTCATGAAGGAAGAATTGATTGCTGGGATGGAAATGATGGGAACCTTTGGGAAAAGTGAATACTCCCTTCCTAGAGATTATGATAGAAAAGTGGAAAGCTGGGCATAGTCTGATATGTACCTGAGATTCTGGGAAAGCAGACTTCAAAGAGTTCAGAGGAAATATAGTAGAATCCCATGTATGAAAATTCTACAGAAGCAGGCAGTCCAGGAGAGATGGAAAACTCTCAAGAATAACATTATGAAGACAATTTTGATGAAGAGGAAAAACAGAAGTTATCTGAAAAGATCAATATGGACACATGGGAAACGTCAACCAACTCAGGTTTTTAAGACATGTACAGAGGTTGAAGCAAGGTCAAGAAATGGAAGATGAATAGAAAATCATGGTATATATGTCTGGAAAAATAGTATTTGGAGTCATTACAGCTGAGAAAAGTGAAGTACACCAGAAGGATTGTTTTTAAAAAATACTGGGGGAAAGAGAAGGATTAAAGAAGATTCAGTAAGATTGGGGTAGATGGGACAATGAAAACTGACAAGAGAGAAGAGTAGAAATTCCTCTTCAGCTCTTGGTTCTTCTGCTAAGGAGAAAGACATTTACACTGGACACAAAAGAATTAAAAATGCCTAATGGGAGGGAGTTAGGAGATGCAGTGGATCGAGCACTGGATTTGTAGTCAGAAAGACTTGAGTTCAAATCTGGCCTCAGACACATACTAATACAACCCTAAATGCGTATCACACACACACGTGTGTGTGTGTGTGTGTGTTTGTACATATGTATATATGTATACACACATATATTATATATATATACTCAAATATATATAACAATACTAACACAACCCTAAGAATGTGTGTGTGTATGTATGTATGTATGTAAATATATAGATATAGATATTTGGATATAGTCAATGCAGGACTTTGTTTTGCTTGACTATACATGTTTGTAATAGGGATTTTGTTTTTCCTGCTTTCTCAGTGTGGGGAGGGGGAGATGGGAAAGAGAGAAGGCGTAGCTTCATGGAAATAAAATAAAATTTAATTGAAAAAAAAAAAGGAAGTAGTGATCATAATGAGCCAGCACAGTTTCATCAAGAGCAGGATATACCAGACTAATTTCATTAAAAAAAAAAAACATCCCCAAGATTACTAGGCTGTTAGATCAGTGGAATGCTGCAGATATAGTTTACCTAGATTTTAGCAAAGCTTCTGACACTGTTTCTCCAGCTACTCCTGCAGAAAAGATAGGGGTCAAATAATAATACATTGCGTTAGACCTGGCTGAACTGGCAGGTCCAAGAATTTGATGTCAGTTTGGAAGAAGTCCTCCAGAGGAGTGCCTTAGATGCTGTGATTGGCCTTTGACGTTTTTATCAGTGATTCAGACCATGGTAGAGGTAGCGTGCTTATTAAATTTGTAAGCGACTCAAAGCCAGGAGGGATAGCTAAAACACGGGGTGTCAGAGTCAAGATCGTAAGAAATCTTGAAAGCCTAGAATATTAGGCTAAACCTGATAAAATAAAACTTGGTAGGGATAAATGTAATGTCTTACAGTTGGGTTTAAAAACTTGAATTCAAAAGTACAAGACCAAGGAAGTATGGTTAGATGGTAAAGTTCTCAGGTTTTGGTGAGCGGCAGCTTAGGAAATACATCGATGACATGTGGAGTGCCTCGAGGAGGATAGCCAGGGATAGTGAAAGACCTTCCATCTACATCACTTGGGGATCAGCTGAAGGAACTGGGATGTTTAATCTGGAGAAGGGAAGACCCAAGGGGGATGTGAGAATTGTTATCAAGTAATCTGAAGGACTACCATGTGGAAGTGGATTAGCTTTGTTATGTTTGGACCTAGTGGTCAGAACAAAGACCAAAGAGTGGAACTCACAAAGAGACAAATCTAAGCTTGATGTTTGGAAAAACTTTCTAACAATTAGAGTTGCCTAAAGGTGGAATGGGCTGCCTCAAGAGGTATTGGGGTCCTTCTCATTGGAGATCTTGAAGCAGAAGTTGGATGATCACATGTTGGGATGTCATAATGGGAATTCCTTTCAGGTATGGACTTGGTCTAGATCAAAGTTCTTAACCCTCTTTGTCCTTTTTGTGCCATAGACCCTTTTAGAGTCTGGTAAAAATGATGACCCTTTTTTCAGAATGTTTTTAAATAACTAAAGGAAATGCTAATATTCAGTTAAATGGCAGGGAAAATAAAAATGTAATCTACTTCTCATTCAAGTTCACGGATATCCTGAAATCCATCCATGGAACCCTGAGGTTCTTGGTGACCCCAGATTAAGAATCTTTGGTCTAGATGGCTGCTTAGTTCCCATCAAGCTCTAAAACTCTGAAAATCTATCCCTCCCAACCCTGACATTCTATGTTCCTGGGTTCAGTTATTTACAGTATTGATCTCCTTTATTAGCATACATTATTATGAAAGGACTTATATGGTCACTCTTCACTGACAAGAAGTCTAGACAAAGACATACATTCCTAGTTTAGTACTCCTGAGCATGGATCTCTGTCTGTTCTGTCTCTCTCATTTACCTCCATATTTTCTAGGGCACTTATGAGAACCATTAACAAAAAATCACCTTTGTTAGTTCAATGGACTTTTATCAAATGAGAAAAGACACATAAAGGGCTTTGTAAAACCTTAAGGCACCATATACTATAGAAATATGAGTGATTCAACTTCACCTACCTAGGTTCTAGAAAGCAAGAGAATAACCACCACCACAAATTCCATTTGTCCTTGTTTATGATACAAAAACAAAAAGAGTTTTTCATTTTACTGGGGCAAAAGGCTAGAGAAAAGAAAAAGTGGTTGTATTATCGGTTAAAAAATCTTTTTCTCCTTACCCAGAACATAAATCTCACTGTTGACTACAGCAGTACTGAATCGGTATTTAGAGTACTTCATCGGTGCCCGCTCCCTCCATTGATCTTGGCCAGGGTCATACTGCAACAGTCGGTTGCTTAATCGATCAGGCTCGTCATCAGGGAGATCCATCTGTATGAAATATGACAGCTATATAACAACGTACCATTTAGAGATGGATGTGAGTACATGAATGCAATTAATCAAACTGGACAGCCAAGTAGATAAATAGCATCAACTGAAGTGACTCAGACTCACTAAAATTCACCAACTCTCCATGACTTGTGGTTATAAGTGCACTGTCAAGATCAGATGAATTTATATTGTAGCCCAGTGGGGCTGAGGTGCTGGGTTAAAATGAACAAGCTGTGATTATAGCACTGTCACAACATAGCTTTTTTCAAAAAAAAAAATTATGAAGCAGCCGCTGAGTCTTAAAAATGAAGCCAAACTACTTTAGCCAATTTTTTTTGTTAGCACATTTCTATTTTGTTAAAACTATATAATAGGGTCCTTGAAGAAGGGGTCTGAAAGGCTAAACTTCCATTTTGTGAAACATTTCTTCTTTATAGAGAGAATCTATTTAGGCAAAACTGATGGAGTCACAAAAAATATTTTGTTTTAATGATTTGCTAAACATTTTCAGATTATAATTTCTTATAATTGTAATTTATTAAAGAGAATTGCTTTGTAGTGCTTCTTATACCTTGACTCTGTTGGTTTGTACGTTCCTCAAAGAAAGAAATTGTCCTCTCTGTGTTGGAATACTGTGCCATGAACACTGTCGGTCCAGAATAAGTATGGAGTTGAGATTTTTTTTTTTTGACATGGGGCCTCATCAAGGAATTACCATACAACTAAGGGCTCATTTTAGTGACTTTGGGCCTCTAGACTTTTCAATCCTGGAATCATGTTTGAAATATTCAGAGGGCAAAGGAAGGTATGGTGAAGTTGTTAGGCCCCAGTTTAAGATAATGATCACATATAAAGGCCACACACAAATGCATAGGAGAAAGGGACTACAATTTGTCATCCAGTATCATGTAGAGTAAAGAATACTCACGTTCAGTAACAAGCATCTTAATCATTATAGAAGTGAACAAGAGAATACATGGGAAGAATAAGTATTTGTTGAGTGAGTGTTGAACAATGGTAGAAACTGTTTCCTTCGAGTCTAGTTCATCATACAAATTATGGGGACAGCTAGGTGGAACAGTGGATAGAGCACCGGCCCTGGATTCAGGAGGACCTGAGTTCAAACCTGGCCTCAGACACTTGACAATTACTAGCTGTGTGACCCTGGGCAAGTCACTTAACCCCACTGCCTAGCCAAAAAAAACAAAAACAAAAACAAATTTTTATAAATTTTACAAGAAAGAGAAATAGAATCTCTATCTCTATTGCCATTTTTTTTTTTTTGGTGAGGCAATCAGAGTTAAATGACTTGCCCAGGGTCACACAGCTAGTAATTGTCAAGTGTCTGAGGCCAGGTTTGAACTCAGGTCCTCCTGACTCCAAGGGCAGAGGTCTATCCACTGCACCACCTAGCTGCCCCCTCTATTACCATTTGGAATCACAAGTTCTGACCTATGAATCAACAACCAGGGATAAATGGCTTACATGTCTGAATAATTTATAGTTATTCACGTACACATACTTTTATCAAGGACACACTAGCTGCATAGCTTTTTCTACAGAGGCTAAATTAAGGCTCCATTATACTTCACAGACTTGGCAGGACATTGAATCTAAAGGTTTCTCAACCAAATTTTTTTTTTCTCGTATATGGACAATGGATGTGTTCTAGGAAAGCTTCCTGCAAATTTAATTTTTTAAATTGAATAAATATCTAAAATACAGTAAATGGAGATCATTGTGTAAAATAACATTGTGGTGAATCCTTTGGTAAAGTGTCCTTTTGTGAAGTGAATAATCACCTCCTAATTTTTGTAAATCTGGATTTTGAGAAACCTTTGGATTTGCTTAAAGTAAAAGATATTTATAATCTCTTTTGAAGTGCTATGGAACTTGGGGGGAGGGGGAGGGATAAGAAGTAGGTGCCTAATTTAATAACAGATTGTTGCATAATAAAGCTCTACATTTCTGCTTTTTAAAGCCAAAGATTCTAAGTAAACCAATATGTTAAATTTATTCTTATTCTAAATTTCCTTCTTTATTTAAGCATTTGATCTCTATTTTAGCAAAAGAAAAGCTCCTGAATTGTTTTTCTGAGTCTTTGTCATGGAAATCTTGATATGTAAATGCTGCTTTAGGTCTATGATTAGTTCATAATTTTAGTTATAATCAACTTGAGAAGCCTTGGCAATGAGCTACCATGAATTCTATTTTGTTGTTGTTCAGTTGTTTTTCAGTTGTGTGACCCCATTTGGAATTTTCTTGGCAAAGATACTAGAGTAGTTTGCCATCTCCTTTTCCAGTTCATTTTGCAGATGAGGAAACTGAGGCAAACAGGGTTAAGTGACTTGCTCAAGGTCACATAGTTAATAAGTATCTGAGGTCAGATTTGAACTCAGGAAGATGAGTTTTCCTGAATCCAGGCCTGGCACTCTCTCCACTGCACCACCTAGCTGCCCTATTGATGAGGTCTAGAGGTTTAGGGATGCTGGGACACCCCCCCCCCCCCAAGATCACGACATGTGGGCCCTGCCTGAATGATTCAACCCAAATCTTCTTGCAGCCAGAGAAAAAGTTTATTAGAGATAAACCATACAGGACAGACTCTTAAGGAATCTGAACATTAGTAATGCCCATAGGGATGAGCGGGCATGAGAAAGTCTCAGCCTTTTGGGCATGAGACTCAGCATTTAAATGGGGGCCAGGGTGGATCTTATATACAATAAATAACTTTGGGTGACCAGAGGAGGGGCTGGGAAAAGGGTCTAGGTGAGAATTCTGATTGGAAGGTCTGAGAGATTGAATAGACAATGGGAATAGATAATGAAGAGAACTGGAAGGAAGAAGTTTGAAAGGCATCTGAAAAAGATCAAAAGGCGGGGCTAGGGCTTTCAAAGAGAGATAAGGGATAATGAACTGTTTGAGACCAGAGTAAGAAAAATATAAGGGCTTTCTGGGGCCCGTAGACAAATAGGAGCCAAATTCTTTTTGGCAAAAGGGGCAAAGGTCTTGGCTTCCAAAACCCCATCACTATGAAAACTATAACACTTTTCAATTCAGAGCATAATTTTAGGTTTTGTCATCCACAGTGGTTATTCTCTGTTAAGTGGTCAAATTGAATCTTTTTTGAGTAACTCAATAGGAAAGTTTATTTAAGTCTATTAGGGAACAAAATATTAAGACAAAGAGAAATTTTCTTTATTTCTTATCATACATGTCTCCAATAAATCTGGGCTGGCAAGTTAGAAAATCTGGCTTTTAACAAACCTTTCCCACAGGTTTACCTTTGAGGTTAGGCATGGTTACCATTAAGCCCTTTTTGATATGCAACAATATTATCTAGGAAAGGATGAGTCAGTAGTCCTCTTTCCCACTGGTCCAGTGGGAACGGGGGGGGGGGGGGGGGGAACATAAGGTATGACTTACATAACACTGCCCACAGAAGAAAGCCTTGAGTACTGGGGTAACCAAAAGGAGAGGCAGCATGGAAGGGTGAAAAGAGCACAGAAATGGGAGTTCTGGTCCCAACTTGCTTCTAAAGCCAGTGGTCTGATTGTAGGTAAATCACTTCACCTAGTATATCTTAACCAAAAGGGACAGGTTAGGGGGAGAGATGGAATAGATTATATTAAGAAGATATAGGGGCAGCTAGGTGGCACAGTGGATAGAGCACTGGCCCTGGATTCAAGAGGACCTGAGTTCAAATCTGGCCTCAGACACATAACACTTACTAGCTTGTGTGACCCTGGGCAAGTTATTTAGCCCCACTGCCTAGTCAAAAAAAAAAAAAAAAGAAGAAGAAGAAGAGATAGTCATGTGATGAAACTCAGGGTGGTAGAGACCATTGGGTGAAGATTAATAGAGGCAGAAACATAAGCCATATTATCATTGTCATATACTATAGACCACCAGGACAGAAAGCAGAAATAGATGAAGAGTTTAGGAGACAGATCACAAGCCTAGCACAGAGGTATAATATAAAAGTAGATCTGGAATCTATGGGAGCTTTCTTTCTGCAAGAAGCAGACCACCTAATAATTTCCTGACTTTCCTCAGTGATGATTTCTTCCTTCAAAAGGTATAGGAACCAATAAGGGGAAAGGCCTATTCTGAATCTGAGTATCTTCAAAAAGGAAAAATTGACTGCTGGGGGTGGAAGTGTTGGGAAGAGTGGGGAGAAGTGATTACTCCATCTTTGAATCTTTCATAGAGAATGAGACAAGAGGGGGATACAATCTGACATTCACCCAATATTTTGGGAGAGCAGGTTTCAAAGCATTTAGAAAAATAATAGGTAGATTCCTATGAAACAAATTTCTACAGAAGTTAGTCAAGGTGGGATGGGAAGCTCTCAAGAATGAAATTCTAAAGACAAAAAAGAAAAAACAATTTCGGTGGAGAGGAATAGGTAGATTGATCTAAAGAGATTGATGTGGATGCATAGAGAACTCCTTGACTAACTTAGATTAAAAAAACAAAGGCTACATATACACATACATGTATGTCTCTCATCTAAATCTATATCTACATATATGATGGCAGGCAGCAAAGGCAATTAATAGAAGATGAATGGGAAAGTACAGCATGGTCCTGATTAGTTTTATAAAAAAATACCAGGAGTACTAAAGTTTAGAATGAGCTGAGGCTGGTTAGGAAAACTAAGGATGACCAAAAAAACCAATTTTTTTTTTCAGCTATATTGGATATAAAAGAATGAAAAGACCACTGCTCAGGGTGGATGGGATGATGATAACAGATTACAAAGAGAAAACAAAGATGCTTAAATCGAACTTTTATTTTCTTTGCCAAGGAAAATTATATTTGGACTGCAAATAGAACAAAAATGGCTAATAGGGAGTTGTTACCCAAAGTAAGTACACAGAAAATAAGAGGATCTAGTTGTCCTTGATAAATTCCAGTTACTACACTGAGACATATCCTAGATTATGGAAAGAACTGGCAGATGTGATTGCTGAGACACTGTCAGTGATCTTTGAAAGATCATGATGAACAGGAGAGGTATTAGAGGACTGGAGAAAGACAAGATGGCTTGATGATTAAAAAAGAGGGGGAGGGGGAAGAATGAGATTAGTTTGACTTTGTTTCCTGGGAAAACGCTACAACAGATCATTAAAGAGATTAGGGAACATCTAGCTAAGGAAGGGGTGAACTCAATGAACCAGAATGTTTTCATCAAGAACAGGTTATGACAGACTAAACTCATATACTTTTTTCAACAAGATTTTGTTGTTGTTGTTTAGTCATTCCAGTTGTGTCTGACTCTCCATGACCCCATTTGGGGTTTTTTTGGCAAAGATACTGGAGGGGTTTTGCCATTTTCTTCTCCAGATAATTTTACAGATGAGGAAACTGAGGCAAACAGGATTAAGTGACTTGCCCAGAATCGCACAGCTACTAAGCGTCTGAAGCCAGATGTGAACTCAGGAAGATGAGTCTCTAGATTAGACTATAAAATGAGGAGAATGTGGTAGAAACAGTTTACTTAGATTTTAGAAAAGCATTTAACAATATTTCTCAAACTATTCTTGTGGAAAAGATGGAGAAATGAAGGGTAGACACTAGCATGGTGCATTCAGAACTCACTGACCAGTCAGACCCTAACTAGATTTTAATAATTTGATGTCAACTTAGATGTCATTAATAGTTTAATATCAACTTGGAAGAAGGTCTCTAGAGGAGTTGCACAGGGAGCTGTACTTGGTTTTGTGCTGTTTGATATTTTAATCAGTGACTCAGGTAAAAGCATAGTTAATGTGCTTATCAAATTGTAGATGAACTGGTTAATAGAGTTAGGATCCCAAAAGATCTTAATAGGCCAGAGTATTGGGCAGACTCTAACAAGATATAATTAAATGTAAAATCTTACACTTGAGTTTGAAAAATAAATATTACAAGCACACATTGGGGGAGGGGTGGCAAGATAACATTTCTTGTGAAAAAGATCTGGGGGTTTTAGTGGACTCCAAGCTCAGTAAGAATCAACAGGGTGATACAGAAACAAACAAACAAAAAAAAAGAGTCCAATGTGATTTTTGTAAGAAGAAAGTCCCAATGTCCAGGACTGGGGAGGTGCTAGTGCTTCTGTGCTCTGGCCAGACTAGATCACATTTGGAGTACTGTATGTAGTTTGAGGGCTCTCTTTTAGGAGCGATATCAGTAAGCTGGGAGGTAACTGGAATTGTGAAAGGCCTCGAAATCCTACTAAATGAACATCAGTTGAAGGAATGATGACCTTTACCTGGTGATATTTGTCTTGGAGAAGTGAAGACTTAAGGGAGACATGATTGCTATTGAAATATTCAAAGGGTTTCACATCAAAGAGGGATTAAATTTGTTCTGATCTGAACCAAAAATGGCAAACCTATAAGTAATGTGTATATTGAGGCTAAGAGGCAAATTTAAACTAGGAGAAATTTTGTAATGATTAGAGCTGTTAAAAAATAGGATGGATTCTCTTGGGAGGGAGTGGTTTCTCCTCAATGGAGATCCTCAAATAGTCAGTAGGGTTTAATAGAATGTTGGAAAGACCTGGATCCAAATCTTCCCTCTGATACTTAATCATGTGGCCTAATATTCAGTTATCTCACCCATAAAGTAGGATAAGAACACCTTCTCTAATCAACTAATAGGATTATTGTGAAGTTCAAATGAGATAATGTATGTAGAAGTGCATTGTAACTATAAAGCATGAGTTGTTGTTATCTAATCTATCTCTCCTTGTTTTTAAATATAAGGATACTGATCATGAAAGTTTCAGTGATTTGTCCAAGGTGACACAATTTGTATCAGAGCTGGTACTAGCACCCAGTTCTACCTGGTTCCATGCTCCTTAACACAAATATCTTTGATAAGGAGCAAAAATAGGAAGGCAATTCTGAAAAAAAAAAAAATGCTTAAATGTTAAGTGAATTCATGTCTATGTTGGATTCACTTTAAAATTTAATTAGTCTTCTATATTCCTATGTAAGCTTTACATTTAACATTCTAAAATAGGGAGAGTTTTTGTTTATATATTTTTTTAATCTAGTAAAGGCACAATGTTTTAGTTTTCAATGAATAAGTCAGCATTCTAAACTGAGAAGCCAGCTTGCATGCAAACATGGGGATTAGGTACATAAGAAATTTCTTAACCTGTGGGGTCCATCCTCCAATCACATAAAGTTTATTATTCACTGTTACCACAGCATGGCATGCTAGTTGTAATGGAAGAGGGGTCACCCTTTTCCAATTGTCATGCTCCACTGAATACTTGTCGACACAGTTTGTAACGAGATACTGGTTTTTCAATTTCATTTGTCCTCCTATAACATAAAGGTCACTATAGACACTGCCTAGGGCATACAGCTCCCGAAACTCAGTGGCGCATAACTTTTCCCAAAATTTGTTTCCCCGGTTGTGATACCTGTAAGTGAATGGATAGAAAGTTCGAGATTAGAGATGACATTGCTTTCTAGAGGCCAAAACATCTTGCCCTTGAAAACTAGTTGAGTCTCCTTCTAAATCATAAATAATGTGATATAATTCTTCACACTGAAGGAAAAAAGGACTTTTTTCAAGATTGCCAAACTGGTTTTTGAACAGATTGATGCAGAGAATAAATTGTACATAAAAAGTGTGACAACTTCTATCTGAACAATTCTAAAATAAAAGTAATATAACTGTGCCTAGCAAAGGGCATATTAAGTGATTAATAAACCCTTATAGAACTCCTAAGAGAAGAAAGCTGAGATAGAAAAGCAGAAAGTTGGGAAACATCAATTATTAAAGAGTAGTCTTGATTTCCCAATTCTGGGGGGAAAACAATGACAAGAAACTCTACCAAGGTTAGGAAATGGGCAGAGACCTCAACAATTTATTTGCAGAACTTAACAGAAGACACTCTGGGGTAACCAAAACATGAAATAACTTTAGTCTGTTTCCTAAAATCAAAGCCTTTCAAAAAAGCTAGAGAGTTAGCAAGAAAATAAGCACCATTCCCAAGCTGTTATATGCATAAAAAAACCACAATTTAAAAGTTTCTTAAAGAAGACAAAGGAAATAGAGCTTTTCTATATACCAGCCCACCCCACCCCCCATAACTTTCACTTATCTGGTACTTATGCTTGTATGATCCAGAGTGGAATGCAAGAATGAAGAGAAGAATGTAGACTTTCCAAAACAGATGGTTGGACATGCATGGCTACCCTATGCCTAAAGGGATGCCATGGAGGAGTTTCCCTGAATTCCATGTCAACTTGGAGGGTGATTTGGCCCTCTTTCCTCCAGTTCCTCCCAACAAGTAACTTGCAAAGGTGAGGGTAGGTGATGCTTGGCTACAAGACAAATAAATACTAATTCTATTATATTTTACCCTTGGCAAAAAAAAAAAAAGTTAAATACTTCATGTCTTAGTGTCAACCAGTGTTTATCAGCAAAAAAGAGTGTGTTTGATTGATTTAGTAATATCACTCTGTAGAGTGACAGATTTACAGGAACAGCTGTTTCAAATCCAATCTGGGTCACTCACTAGCTGTGTGACCACAGGCAAATCAGTTAACTTCTCTGAGCCTCAGCTTTCTCATCTGTAAAATGGGGGTAATAACATCTGTAGCCCCTTACAGGGATATTATGAGGCCCAAATGAGCTAATGTAGGTAAATCACTCCACAAACCTTAAAGCCTATGTAAATGTTATTATTGTTATCATTATTAATGATGATGAGGATGTTAGATTTTCTATGTTGTTTCTTTACATGTGAAGCAGCAATTATATCTGCTCGGCCCTACCTCACAGGTTCAATCAAACGAGGTAATGCTTGTGAAAGCTTTAAAGCACTATGCAGACATAAGGGATACTTATAGACCTCCAGTTGAGGACTTCTGTGAGTAATGTTGAAAGGTGGAACGTGGGATGCTGGGCTTGGCTGCATTAGGAGTACCACTGAAGGGCAGGACAATGTGGGAGAGAAAGAGGAGTAGGAGGGAAAGGGAGACAGAGACAGAGAGAGAGAGAGACAGAGACACAGAGAAAGAGACAGACAGAGACAGAGACAGGGACACAGAGAGAGACAGAGACACATACAGAGACAGAGAGACAGAGACAGAGAGAGAAACAGAGAGAGGCAGAGACAGAGAAAGACAGAGACAGAAAGACAGAGAGAGACAGAGAAAGAAACAGAGACAGAAACACAGCGAGACTGAGAGACAGAGACAGAGAGAGAGAGACAGACAGAGAGATATGTGCCAGTTGCAGGTCTCTGTAGTTCAAAGTAGGTCATATTCTAATTCTTCTCTTAGTTCCTCCCATCTCTTCTCTCTCTTTTTTTTTTAATAGAGACTTGAAAATTTTCTCACTCGTGGGAAACCTTTATTATGCCAAGATTGTAAATAACCTGTTTGGTGTTTGTGTCTTATCACCCTAAATGATTTTAAATTCTGTGCCAGGCAGATCTCAATAAATATTTGCTGAATAATTAATGCACATGTAATGCGTGTCATTCCTCTTCTGACTGATGTCAACCTCTTGACTGGAAAACTTTATTCTGGTCTCACTGCTTTTTTAAGATCAAGTAAAAAAAAGATAATATCAGAGAAACAAAGATCTGCCAACCAAAAATGCAGAATGAAAATTGGCTAAAATGGTAAGGTAGGATAAAAGAGAAGCAGTGTTTTCTGGCCTATGAAGTTTACATTGGACCATGCTGGTATCTCCACAAAGAACTACTCCAAAGCTTGCTTGTGTGTAGAAGGGACTCTGGGTTCTCAAACCCTCTGCCAGAGTCACAGCATAAAATTTGGAAGGTTCTGAAGAGGCTTCAGTGACTATCACGTGGATGAACTATGAGCTAAAGGCCAGTCTAGCTTAGTTCAGAGAGGATCATTATCATATATGATGAAATCATTAGCTACAGCTGCTTCTAAATGGAAGTATTGCTCTCTGCATTGTTGGAAGTAGTATTTCTTTTCACTAGTATAAAAGACTATCCTAAAAAATAATAATAGCTAACATTTATATCGCACTTACTATGTTCAGGCACTATGCTAAGCACTTTCATAATAATAATAGCCAACATTTATATAGTGCTGGCATTCTTCTAAGCACTTTACAATTATTATCTCCTTTGATCCATAAACAACTCTGGGAGGCAAGTGCTGTAATTACCTCCATTTTACAGATGGGGGAACTGAGACATGCAGCTACTAAGTAACTTGCCCAGGATCTTACAGCCAGGAAGTATCAGAGGCTATATTTGAACTTGGGTCTTTCTGACTCTAAGCCTGGTGCTCTATCCACTGCGCCACCCAGCTGCCCTTAGAAACAATCAGTTTTAGATAAAAAGGAAAATCAAGTTCATAAAAGACTAATGCTATGATCTAAGCACACGACTGGAAGCTAAGAAATATATAAAGCACATTTTGGGTATGTCCAGTGTTATCTATTCCAAGAAATGATGATTTAAACAAATTTGCAAATTGTAATGATTTCACCTTCAGGTACACACCGATAGATCTCTACATTCTTGTTCTTTTGTCTAGATAATTTAGAGGCACTGGCTTCCCCTGCCACAATGATATCATTGTTTTCCATGACGACCCCGGTACACACAGTTCCTAAGCCTTCTCCATACTTCGGAGAGGAGAGGAAGTAAGTCTTCCGTGTCATGGGAGCATAACAAAAACTGGCTTCTCCATAGTTGCCATGTCTCGATCTGATCCCTGTGGAACTGTTGCCAATACAAAGCAGAAGACTAGTGGTCTCCATTCCATAACGGAGATTTAGAGAATGCTGTTTGGATTTCTTGATGGCATCTAAGGCACCCTGGATGAGATCGAGGCAATCTGAGTTACATAGAAGCACTGTGTTCCTTTTCAACGCTTCTCTTAAAAAAGAAGGATTCACAAGTCCCAGTCTCACTTGTTTCAAAAGTTCAGGAAGGGACTCCAGGCGCGATTCTCGGTTATGGTTTACCCATCTCAAAACCAAGTCCAGAATACTCTCCTCTCGGGAAATATTAAGATCATCTGATTTAATAAGCGCCATCAGTTGGTTCACATCAATTTCTAGAATTTCTTCATGTAAGCTTGCCTCAGCAAAGTGCCGATATAAATATTTCTTGGCTTGATCAGACAAATCTTCTGCCCCAATATGTTTGGCAAAATAATAGATTCCCACGCAATTGGAGGCATCCATGTGGTCCATCATATATTTCTGGCACACGCTGAAGACTTCATCCATTTGCATAAAGTAGGCAGCAACAGCTACAGTCTGTACATTGGCATTATTGATGTCCAAATCCACATTGTACATATAGTTTAATATTATAGAGACACTCTCTGCTGTGATATCATAGAGTATGACTTCCCTCTGAGCACACTCAAGCAAACCACAGGTGAACATGGCTTTGAAATAAGGGCTAAAGGCAGCCAAAATCAGCCGGTGGCAGGGAAATTTCTCCCCTTCTGCGACGAGCACTACATCTATCATTTCCGCTAATTCTTTCATGTTCTTAATTTTGCTAAGTAAAGTCAAGCTATGTTGCTGTTTTTCTTTTCCCACAATCTTGCTCTCCATGATACATGCCATTCTTCCAGAGAGAGTCTTCTTCAAATTTAGTTTGATTTCTGAGGGGCTATTTGCATGTTTAATTGCTCACGAGGCAGCAGAGATGCCACAAAGCATTCCTGGGGAGAGGAAAAAGCATAATTTTCTTAGGAGGAAAAAATCTTATATAATTGAATGTTAATGCCAAATTTAGTTATTGTGAAGGATTCCAAAGGCAGGCTACACCGAAAGGGCATTTGTTCTGAGGAATATTTTTATTTATTTATCTGAGGAATAGTTTTATTCTTAAATGAACTGATTTGGTTTGTCATGTTTTGTTTCATTCTGGGTTCTAATGCTTCAGCAAATGAATTGTAATTTTCTATTTCTTTGATATAGACGCACAGAATGCCAGAGTCTTTAGAGATTTTAGAGACCTACTACAGATCTCGGGGAACGAGGTAGTGTAGTAGATAAAGCACCCAACCTGGAGTCAGGAAGACCTTAGTTCAAATCTGGCCTGAGACACTTGCTAGCTGTGTGACCCTGGGCAAGTCACTTAACTCTGTTTGTCTTAGTTTCCTCATCTGTAAAACGAGCTGGAGAAGGACATGCCAAACCACTACAGCATCTTTACCAAGAAAACCCCAAATGGGGTGACGAAGGGTCAGATACAACTGAAACAACTGAACCCCAACAATAAATGCTTGTGGCATCAAATTGACTAATGGCAAGGTAAGAACTAGAACTCAGGTCTCCTGATTTGCAGTCACGCTTTTTCCATCACCCTATCCTTTTTCACTATAGCTCTTAAAGTAGGATGTGAAATACATGTATCTTCTAAAACCCCGTTTTTCTCTCTGATAAAAAAAAAATAATTACTAATCCTATTCCTCTGAGACTCACTATACTTCCCAGTCCTCGGAGATGCAATTTTCGGCCCCGAATCTGCACACATTCTGAACGTCCCCTTTTCATTGAACAATTCTGTTGGGCTAGATGCTTGGATAATTTGGTAACTCTCTTAGGCTACGATCATATTTTGCACACAATTCCAGATCAGCTTCAGATGATATTTATACATGTTTTCTGCTAGATCTCAAAATGAATATTTACAGTTTGCAAATGTTTACAACTGGAATTATGAAGAAGTGATAACATAATACTTATACAATCATTGACTTGGCTAAAATAAATATCACTTCATTTGCATATTTCTGCCCTAATGACTAAAAAAAAATTCACTACTTCTTATGTATGATGTTGTATCATTTCAGTGATATCTGACTTTTCATGACCCCCTTTGGGGTTTTCTTGGCAAAGATACTGGAATGGGTTGCCATTTCCTTCTCCAGTTCATTTTACAGATGAGGAACTGAGGCAAATAGGGTGAAGTGACTTGCCCAGAGTCACACAGCTAGTAAGTGTCTGAGGTCAGATTTGAATTCAGGAAGATGAGTCTTCTAATTCCAACTCTGTCCACTATGCTACCTAGCTGCTCCATATAAAGTGGTACTTTCTTGAAACCCATATTCCTGAAACCTGGAAAAGGCAGCCAAGGCAACCTTGTGTTTCCAGATCTGGACTAAGGGAGAAGGAGAGAAGCAGGTAGAGTATTACAAACTTAGAATTCTTTCTTAGGCAGCTCAGAAATCTGGATCATAAGTATTGCTTCTGATTTTAGGCTAATTCACCACTGAAAAAATAATCCACGCCTTGAATTGGGCTAGGTTATTGCATTTCAAATGTAAGGCAGGCATAAAGCTATGTATCTATATCTACCTAGCTAATCTATCATCTAGATATCTCCTCTACTAGTTGCTCTTCTTTTTTTATATATGTATTTTTTTAGGCAATTGGGGTTAAGTGACTTGCCCAGAGTCACACAGCTAGTAAGTGTCAAATGTTTGGTCTGAGGCCAGATTAGAACTCAGGTCCTCCTGACTTCAGGGCCAGTAGCTCTATCCATTGTGCCACCTAGCTGCCCCTTAGTTACTCTTCTAAAACACCATCTACCCTCATTGATTACATTTTCTCTCTTCCTACTCAACTTAACTAGCCATCGAGGTAGCCTGATGGATAGAGTACTGGACTTGCAGGTCAGGAAGACCTTATCTCTCTCTTCCCCCTCCTCCCTCTCTCTTTCTCTTCTGTTTTTTTCCCCCTCTGTTTTTCTTTCTGTCTATCTCTAACTCTGTCTATCTCTTTTCCTCTGACAAGTCTTCCTAAGACAAACGGGGTTAAGTGACTTTCCCAGGATCACACAGGTAGTAAGTGTCTCAGGCCAGATTTGAATGGAGGTCTTCCTAACTCCAGGTTGGGTGCTTTATCTACTGCACCACCTAGTTCCCCCAGATCTGTAGTAGGTCTCTAACTTTAAAGTCGCAGAGGAATAGCATTAGATACGTGTATTTCACATCCTAGTTGGAGAGCTATAGTGAAAAAAGGATAAGGTGATAGAAAGAGTGTGACTGCCAATCTTGTCACAGACACTAGCTGGATGACCCTAGGCAAACCCTTGAAACTCTCTCAAGTCTCACTTTGCTCATCTGTAAAATGGGGGAGATAATAATTACACCCTATCTTTCAAGGTTGTTTTGAAGATAAAATGAAAACATTTTAAAGTGCTTTGTAAACCTGAAAGTGTTTTATAAGTGCTGGCTATCATCAATCATTATGAATGCCTTCTCAACCCCTTCAATGTGTCCCACTATAACCACTCAACTGAAACTGCTCTTTCCATGGTTGCCAGTGTTCTAATTGCTAAATCTAAAGGTCTGTTCTCAGTGGTCATCCTCCTTAACCCTTGGCAGCATTTGGAACCGTTGATCAAATGCCATCCTCCAGAAAGCTCCCTCTTCCTTGGATTTTCATGACACTGCCCTCTGTCTCTGTCTCTCTCTGTCTCTGTCTGCCCCTCCACATCTTACTCTCCCTCTTTCCTTCTCCTCTCTCCCCCTCCACCACCCCCCCTTTTCTCTCTCCCTCTTCCATATCTCTCTCTGTCTTTTTGTCTCTCTCTTCTCCCTCTTCCTCCTCTCCTTCTCTTCTGTTCTTTCCCCCTCTGTTTTTCTTTCTGTCTCTAACTCTGACTGTCTCTCTCTTTTCCTCTGACCTGTCCGGCTGATCCTGTGCTGCTCTTCCTGAAGGGGATTCCTGCGTGATCTCTCTTGTAGCCTCTTCTCTTTTCTTCCTCCCCTCTTTTGGTGATATCATCCATGCTATGATTCCGTTATTATCTTTATGCAGATGACTCCCAAATCTTTACGTCCAGCCCTCTCCTCTCCTAAGTCCGGGAGAATTACTGAGAGTTCTACTAGACATCTTCAAGTCCACCTCCTTGAAGGCTTCTCCATCTCATCATGTCCAAAAACCAGAACTCACTTTTGTTTCCCCTAACCCCACCCCCTTCCTAACTTTCCTTTTTCTGTTGAGCATATCACCACTTTTCCAGTCTTTCAGGCTGTTCATTCTAGCAGAGTGATCCTCAGCTTTTCATTCTGCCTTACCTCCCTCCCCTGCCCTATTTTCCTGAACTTGCCACAACAGCTCTCAAATCCACCCCCCTTCATTCTACCCATCACCTCTCACCTGTAGAGTGAGGCAGCAGCCTCACTGGACATTCTGCTTCTTCCAGTTCTAACTCATCTTCCTCACAAATGTCAAAATCACCTTCCCTAAAGCGCCGATCTCACAATGTCGTTCCCCTAGCTCATAATTACTCAGCGGCTCCCTATTACCTCTGGCACAGAATGTAACCTCTTCAGCTTGGCACTGAAAGCCATCATGTTCTGGCTTCAGCCTCTAGCCTGGCACGCTGAAAAGATCACCGACTCAAGTTAGAAGGTCTTGGTTCAGATCCTTTCTCTGACTTAACTTCCCCAGAGCTCCATTTTCTCTAAAATGGGGTTGGGCTGGATAGCTTCTGAGCTTCATTTCAGCTTTGAATACACGACCATGATGCTACCTTTCCAAGTCCACATTGTTCACTTTCATGTACGCAGCATTCAGGCCAAGTTAGCCTTTTTCTGTTCCCTGAATTCAGCCCCATCTTCCATCTTCATCCCTTTGCAAAGGCCATCCCCTCATACTTGAAATACACCCCCCACCCCATGAAAGTTCCTGAAGGCAGGGTGTTGTCGGTCTATTTTGCATCCCCTGAACCTAGCAGTGCCTTGCAGACAATAGGCATTATATATATGCATGTACATACATATACATAATACATGTGTACATATATACATATGTACGTACGTATATTGTGTGTATACACACAGAGTCAGACCAAACTGAAATGACTGAACAACAACAAATCGTTTCAGCTGTGTCCGACTCTTTGTGACCCCATTTGGGGTTTTCTTGGCAAAGATATTGAAATAGTTTGCCATTTCCTTCTCCAGCCCATTTTATAGATGAGGAAACTGAGGCAAACAGGGTTAAGTAACTTGCCCAGGGTCACACAGCTGGTAAGTGTCTGAGGCTGGATTTGAACTCAGGAAGATGAATCTTCCTGACTCTGGGCCCAGCACTCTATCCACTGTCACCTAGTTGCCCTATACATAATACATACACGCATGTGTATGCATACATGCATGTATACACACATGTACTGCACGAGCAAGATATACGTGTATGTGTGCATGTACATATATGTATGCATAATGCACACAAACACATTATTTTTACATACATAATTTTTAATACACATATGAAACACATCATGGCCTGGAATGTGTTTCCATTGGTGTACTGATATCCAGAAATAGTTCCCTTTCATGTACAGGGTCTAGACAAGAGAGAGCCCAGTTCGTTCTGAGGTAGATCTGCTGGTCCTCAGGAACCCTAGATAGATGAGGAAATTAAGTCCAATCCACTCATTCACTCATTGACTCACTCACTCACTTACTCAGTCATATACATATATATATATATAGATATATATATATAGATATCTCACACACACACACACACACACACACACACACACTACTCGTCTTTGGCAACTATGTTCTATACAAAACATCTTAAAGTAAATTGTGTAC